AGTTTAAACACTGAATATTTATTTAATAATATTTTCATTTGATTTTTTTAGAATAAGTTATAAACATTTTGTCATATCTCAGACACAAAGAGCACATTTCTAATACAAAATAGTCTTCCCAAAAGTCGATTTGAAATATCTATGATATAGGCCCTTAGATTCTAGAGTTCATTAAATTTATCCTGAATATGGCCAATACGAGAAAATTGCAACAAACACAAAATAACTCAAAACGATCTTACAATCATATTAATAATTTCTAGACGCTTCACCATATCTCAAAGAGCTTCAAAATTCTTAGAATGCACTTTAAAATTCTTCAAAGTGTACCAAAAACATGTCAAAGTACATCGATACGTCTTCAGAAATCACTAAAACGTATGATAACAGTTTTAGAAAACAAGATACCTCAAACCACTCTTAAGCCTCAAGAAAATTATTTAAATCCACTGTGAAAGGCAGTACAATAGAGCGAATCACTTTCAAGATATATAAAAGAACGATAATATAAATCAAAATGGCATTAAAATTACTCGGCAACTTCCAAATGCTTCTAAATATCTCAAAAACAGATAAATTAATTAAATACTACTTACTACTTACAATTAGTTCATTTAGATACATTAAAAAATCAAAGGTTAATCCGCGAGGTCAAAGATCAATAACCCCTTGTGCCAATGGTCATGGGCGTAGCTAGGGGGGAGCAGGGGTGTGCACGGCCCACCCCTGGAAGCCTGGTGCTCATTCCAGAAAAAAAAGATCTAATATTATCGTGTATCACATCGGCACAGAATTTGTGGAATTAATACTATTTACATTTGACCCTATATTGATTATAAAATTGCTATTCCAATTAGTTCCTAAAATTAGAGTTACCTAGAAACTGGTCCCTATTTTTGAAAAAAAACTTTCTATAGTAAAGGCTATTTTTAGACCATATAAGGGATCATAAAAAATTTTCAAGGAAAATGTCCCGGAAAAAAAACTCCAGGAAAAGCCTGGGATAGAACTGCGGGGAAAAGGTCCGGGGAAAATCTCCGGTGCTTGGTAGCTGTTAAGAAAGCAAAAATAAGTCAAAAATGGTCCGCTTTTAAAATAAAATAGGGTCTTTTTTCTTAGAATCACCACAATGAATTACACGTAATGACTTTATAATCAAATTTAGTAAATATTTAATTTTAATTAGACAAATCGTTAAATAAAATTTAATCAAAATCCGAAATATTTTATAAAATCTTTTTTTTCAAATATCAACACTAAAAATTCCTATAAAGGAATAATCGAAACATAAACCGAAACATCCTGTATAAAGATAGTATAATGGCTATAAAACATTGAAATTCATATGAATTAGATTTTGTGAAATTAATACTTTTTACATTTGACCCTATATTGATTATAATCATGGGCGTACCTAAGAGAGAGCCCACCCCAGAAAGCCCTGTCAAAAAAAGATCTAATATTATCGTCTACCATATCGGCATATAGGTAAGTCGCTGATTGCGTGATCTTTTTTATTTAAAATGATATCAAAACGTTTTCAGGTTTTTTAAATTTTAATCTTCAAGTTTGTGAAAATTCCGAGGGCTTTTTTTAGAAGCTCCATAGAACTTGCAGCCCTGAGCCAACCCCAAGCAAAAATTCTAGCTACACCCATGCCAATGGTCGAGAATATGGGTACCAAAAGTTAAAGACTCTAATGAACAAGCGTCAAAACCTGTGGAACCAAAGGTCAATAACTCCAAGTTTAAAGGTCGATATCAAATAACAATGACTTTTGCTTCCTTCGTCATTAAACTTTGACATTCGACTTTAGGTAGTTGGAGGTTTTCTGTATTTCCAGGTAATTTGAAGTATTTATTTAAGATGGTGAATGGACAAAAATGTAACGGGCAATTTCCTCATGACTGACACTTGATAAACTTGCTTTTAAACTATTTATATTATATTTTAGCTAGTGTTGAAATTAGATCAATCGAGAGAGGGTCTGGCACAGTATTAGGACTGCTTATTTTTTCGATATTAAAAATGTGAGTAGTTATTTTATTACAGGAATTTTACAGCGCAAATCCATATTATTGAAATCTTTATTATGCAGTTTGCAATTGAATTTCGCGATGGGCTTTATTCTGTTCTAATAATACCGTTCCCTTCAGCGCTAGAACAAAGGGAAGGCCACTGAAAGCCGACAGAAGACAATATTGACACCCATCGGTAGATACGTCGGATGTAGGCATCAGAAAGAAATATGAATAAGATCCATTTCCATCCACATACGAAAATTACCCGATAGTCCCTGAGTGACACTATCTGAAGAGCATTCTTCTCCCGACGCTTGCCGGGGACGCCGGGCGTCAGTCATCCTCCTGGCGTTATCAGGGGGACGAACACTCGAGTGAAGCTGCGGAGCATGAATTTGCCACATGATGGGATTGTGACGAAGCGGTGTAGAACGGCGGCCTCTATTATTTTTAGTTGCATTGATCCTTCTCGGATTTCAAAATGGAAATCTCTTTGATTGCTGGGTCGTGTGTTAATTAGTTTTGCGCGCACCGGCTTGTATCGATGCGGAGTGAATTTTATCGGCCCCGATTCGATTGGTTGGGCACCGATGGAGGTATTGAATAAACAAATGGGGCGGGATGGGGTGAAGGTTTTCTTGTCGTGCGATATTTTTGGACGTACCGAACGCGTTTTACGGAAAAAATTATGATTGATAAAAAGGTTTGGTGGTATTTAAAATGGGGTTGCCATGGAGAAAGTTAACATTTCGTGTACGGGGTGTTCAGAAACTAAAAAATATATAAAAATGTCACAAGAGGAAACTACCTTTATTTTTTCTCTTTTGACAAAGTTATACTTAGGAAATGGCATGCTAAAATGTTACTTCAGTTATTAAATAAAACAATTCATTCATAAAACTGGTTTAATCTTTTAAAAACGTTATAACCTCTCCTAAAGATATGGATTATACAGCTTATACATTGTTTTAGCTAGTCGATGATATTGTCCAAAGGTCTACTGTATACAATCTGTTTAAGACGGCCCCACAAGTAAAAGACGACAATTTTCCAATTCATTTGTGAAAAACATTTTTTAAAATGAGGATTTTCGCATTCCAATAACGCAAATCTTGCGAAGCAACAGTACCATTTGCTGAAAGAGTAGCTTCGTTCGAAAACATAATGAGTTGATGGAAGTTTCATCTACACTGGAAAAAAAAGCATTTGGATCAAATGTGCAGATAGTTTTAAATGGAATTATTTACTGTAAATGTTATTTCTCTATCTATAATTTTTCATAGAATTTATATTATTTGTAAATATTTATAATTTAGCATATTATAATCAAACTTATGTTTTCTTGAAAGAAAATTGTAACAGGTCACAGAATGGCGTAGGTAGGAAGTACCAGGACAGATGGAGCCACTTACGCTCTGTGTATACACACCTTCTTGTGAGGACTAACAATAAATAAATATAAGAAAATATATTTCTTGGTAGAAATTTAAAGTATTTAAATAAATAAATAATTTTCTTGAAAGAAGGAAATATTTTCTTGTGTACATATAAACGATAAACGTGCGATACCTTAAAATCAAATGTACATTTAAAGCAAGACATTTTTTTTGCGTGATATGGCTTCGATCCACAGACAAAATTCGTACTTCTTGCTTCTTCCGTTGTGACTTAAAAATGATTTGCATGGCAGAATTTTAATTTGTTTTAAATGTTTTGTATTTGGGACTTTTTCTCAATGACTGTAGAACTAGCGCACTGGCATTTTCCTGGTCATAGTTTTTCCTTTGCCTTTACAACAGTGATCCTGTTCTTAAAAATATTCAACTATTTTGTGTAAAAAAGACTGCACTTCATTCACCCTGGAGATTTTTCGTTGAATCCTTGTAATATTTATCGATAAATGTAATTTTCACTGGTGGGTTTGTTAAACGAAGTACAGAGACACAACAAGTGAGGAATAAAATATCTTTTTCATCACAACTTACTATAGAGGTAAAGTTAAATGTCGTGAATCAAATAATTTTATTATTTTAATTCACAAGCAAAATTTTCTATAAAAAATGTTTCTCTTCCATACCGGAGAAAAAGACTTTTTCATTTTATCAATTATATCCATCGATATTTGTTTCAATAAACAAAGTAACCAATTTTGTTATAACTTGGAATTCTAACATTTTTTATAAAATAATAAATAAAAATATCATCTTCAGTTCTTCGACATTTTTACGGCCTTTTCACAACTACCTATACATGTTTTTTATATCCTGTAATAAATCATAATATTGCGCATACGCTACACAATACAATTTGCTTGTTATTTGTGTTGCCTATATTATACTTACAATGTTTTCGAATTTTAAAAACAAATTTCAGTAAATGTATTTTATAAAATTATGCTACTTGTAAAATTATATTCAAACAAATTCAGCATTATACTTATTAATGTATAAATTTCAATAAAAAAAAATTTCCATGCTCAATCCTGCTGAAAACGATGGATTTTGTTTGATCAATATTTAATCAGAAACAATTGTGTCAACATCATGTTAGCTTCCGTATTTGTTTTTTAATTTTTTATTTCTATACATATTTCATTTTCATAAATTGATTTTCCAGTGAATAATTTATATTTTCATCTTAATTAGAGTAAGTAGTTTTAAATTTGCCTAATAGTGTAGTCCTTAAAATGGTTCCGATAGTAGTTGTGTTAATTTTTTTAAACTAATTTTAAGGAATCTGTCTTAAATGGCTTAATTTTGGATCCAAAATCCAAAATTCTGGTATTATTAGAGACAAGACGTAACTGATCAGGCAAGGTAAAATATCTTTCTGTGTGGTATTTGACTAAATTAAAATTTTGTAGGTATCTCGAAAAAAAAGTAATCTGGAGACCAACTTTTATAACAAAGTGTCTAAATTGTTTCAGATTTGAGACCATTTAATTAATAATCAGAAATATAGATATCATCTATCACCAAAATGGAGGTTATGGAAGATGGAAATTTGATGGACAAAGTCCACATTTTGATCCAGCGTGATATGGAATATTATAAGGTATTTAAGTACTTTTTAATAATCAGAAATGTGAAGTATTCACTTGAATCAGGATAAATATCTGTCCCAAGTCCCATTGCATATGAAAATTTTTAATCACAGAATTAACATTGTGAGGATATGATATTATTTATTATTTCTATGAATTTCTTTATATTACGAAATCTAAATTAAATAAATAATGAGATTGTCTTAAGCTCAAAAATAACCTCGACTTATTAACATTCGCTGTTTCCGGAATAAATTACCTTTGAATATTTCTAAGTGCAATGTCATGTCTTTCCCAAATAAAATTCAAACCATTCCCTAAAATTAGTCTTTAAACAATGCTCCAATTAGCCAACCAACAACATTTCGTGAATGAAATGTTATATTTGATAATAAATTAACTTTCCGGAATCATATTAACAATTCAAACTTATTAATAAGATTTTTTATGGCTAATTTGAAAAAAAAATGCATATTTGCCCAAAATTATTGATGGCCTGTTTACCCTTACCTAGGAATCTTTGACCTACGCTTGTTATTCTCGTGTTAGGCTCTGTGGGGCAAACCCATTGTCAGACCCCCCAAAGCCCGCCCTAATGTTCATTTCGGTCCTTGTTGTTTCCAAATATTTCGCCGTACTTCACTGTAGACATCTTCAATGGTGTGCAAAAGCTAAGCATCGACTCAATTGATTCGATTCATCAAATATAAAATCTCTATGTTCTCAAAACTTAAAAATAAGTTACCGATAAGCATAGCCTACCCTCTACAAATCTTGGAAAGTCTTCTCCTTAGCAAGACAGTGTATTAATTAATTATGATGAGATTTTTTTATCTCTTATTAATTTATTTGTTTGTTTACTTTAATTCAGTAGTCTAATATCTCTGCAATTCTTTAATTTGTCTTCAGTAATTGATAACTTGATCTATTTGAACGGCGTAGTCGATAAAAAAAATACATATTTCTTCCTAATTTCAGGACAAACAGGCCGTGCTCCAAGAAACGATTTGTCCCGGCGTGATAGGCGGTAGGCTGGATTTCCCTAGATCGGCCTCATTTGCCGCAATGAAATTAGTTTTATGGTGGGAAGAAGAGTACGTTGCGGCGTATAAGAATCCTTCCGGTTTCCTACAGAAAGGCTCTGACGCTTCAAAGGATAATCAGGCGGCTGAAACGGAGGACGGCGGGAAAATCGTGAAGGACTCCGACCCTTCCAAATTTGCCAACCTCATCAGCAAATCGGCAGATCAACTTTTAGGTGAGAATAAGAGCATACAGGGTGTTATATCGAAAGCTCTCTCGAATTTTTTAAATACTATTATTATGTATTTAGAACATCTACACGTTTTGACACAAGAAGCTCTAGACCACGCCGACCTATCAGTACTAACGGGGACTATTGGTGCTGCGGCTTTATTAAAAAATTGCCTCTGGTTCTTCATTCAGTCCATGAGTGAGACAAAGAACAGCAGTACTGAAGAACTGCAAGCCGGATACAAAAAATACAACGAAATGTGCGAGGCACTTGCTGAAAGACTCTTGGACCTCCATTGCAGGCTTCTGTCGTTGTATATTCTCCAAGATGCAGAGTGTTTGGACTGGGAAGGTGATAAACCATTCTTCGAATCAGAGAGGGGTTCCTACACCATCCAAATGTGGTGGTTGTACATGCAAGGAACAAAAGAGGATCTATGGAACACTGTCCCACCAAAAATGGCTCAAAGAGTTTTTTCCGGAATGCTGAACGAGTCCCTTACAATTTTAACCATTCGTTATACTCAAGTAAATGCAATCGGCTACCAAGTAATATCATCTAATAGTACTTTTTTAGAGTTCCCCATCAGAAGCTAGGAGTCAGCTCCTGGTGGTGGACATAAGTAACTTGCTATTGTGCGTAGCCCAACTTTTACCATCTATTTGCGACACAGCGAAGGATTTCATTGGATTGTCGTACCACAGTAGTGGCAGCAAGATATTGAGAGACATTCACACCAAATGTCAAGAATTGCTAACTTGTTTACCGCTGCGAGGATCTTCACTCAATGATCTACATAAGGTGGACATTTCTAATGTTATTCTTTTTTATTTATTTAACTTTGTAGGTATTCAAGAAAGGAATTGACAACGTAGAAATGTTCAAGCCGAAGACCGTTGGGCCTGTACCTTGGATAATATTCGGATTGCCAAATATTTTCAAGGACAGTTCGAAAAATGTTTCGAAAATGACAGATTTGCCTTCAGACCTTTCTATAGCACTAGAACTAATGGTTCTCCTAGCACAGCCTCAGCCAAACTGGGCATTACTCTTAAAGGTTAAATTTTTTCTATGTACTGACCTATTTTTATGTACCATTTTTTTCCTAGGTTCTTTGTATGAAGAAGTGCAAAATCCTCCAATTAATCTTATACTTGACGGTAGACAACTACACTGCAGAAATGCAAAAGAAGATCGCACGCAACTCCGCCTGTGGATCTTTCCTTTGTTCTGAAGATGGCACTTGTAGAAATGTTAACACATCCTCATCGACCTTAAACGAGGTACACTACTATGACCTCATCTCGTCTTCAACTGAAGTGCTATTGTACATGGGAAACGATGACGACCTATCAGATATTTTACTACCAATTATTACAAAAAATCACAACTGGGCTAAATGTTTCGAAAGAAGAAATGTAAGTAACCATGCACTTTTTTAAACTTTCATACAAAATGATTATTGAAGGTGTGGAACCAAATACGGCCTCCATGGTACGAAGCCATTCTGCACCTCATTTCACCTCTTATACCCACCATAACCGAAAGCATCATCAACGCCGTCCAAACGGGTGCAACGATGTACCAATCGATGTCCCTCACCTTAGCTCTATTAAGTTTCTACTGGGACTGTGCAAACCCTATTTTGACGCAGATATCAGCATTGCTTCAAGAAATTATTCCAGCTGACATAGTTCCAATGAACAACTCTGCCTTGTTGCAAATCCTGGTTTCCGCACTATACAGCGCCTTCTTACACATTTCCGAAGGACCAAAAAAAGAAGTCAAGTTCGCAGTTACTGAAACAAATCCTTCAGATAATCGCAGGAGCTTTTCTACTAGTTTTGATGCTGCGAATAGCACTACAGAGGCTATAGCTTTAGCGGTGGCCGAATCTTTATGTAGCATCGACGAAGACAATAAACACACGGATCAGATAGAGGAGTTTTTAGAGCAAGTGAAAAATTGTAAACCGGACTTGGATTTTTGTGCGGGTGGATCGAGTAGGGTGGAAACGACTCAGCAGATGTTGGAAGTTTTAGTCAGTGATCTATTGATTACTACAAGCGGAAAAAAGAGTTTGAAGGTAGTGTAACGATTGAACGATTCAAATTGTGAATAAATTTGAAACATTTTCAGACGCTATACCATTTCATGAAACACAACAGTGAGTGGCTGTATCAGAAACTTGGGGTAAGTGAGGATAAAGATGATGCGACTCCAAATAAAGTAATATCTCAACCTACTCGATTGCTTCACACTATGTTTCACATTGGATATAGACCGTTCGACCAGGTACAATTTTGTTATAATGTAAAGGTTGTCCGTTAGTTTTTTAATGACATACTTTTAGCTTCTAACTGGTGAGCTACAGCCGAATTGGTTCAATCTACTTCAAACTCCCATGGGATTAACCTCAGAAAGGGTGTGGATGCAGTTGTCGCCTAGATGGGAATTTAGAAATATCAATTCCTCTAGTCTCTCAAGCCATGACGTTCACATTATTAACAATATAACATCCCTGCTCAAACAATAAATTTTGAGCTTTTTACTGATGTCAGACTTAAAAGAAAACAACACTCGTGTAGCATGAAACATGTATTATTATCAGTAGGTAACATTTATCACAATTAAAGCTCTTAAACGTTGACGGCTGTGACTCCTGTGTCGACGTAGTAATCTCCCCTAGCTCTGAAATCATACATTTAGGTCGAGTTCATCAATTATCTGAGGCTTTTAGTACAATTGGTAGCACAATTCCTTACGTTTTAGAGACGTTCATTCCCGCGTAGGTTGTTTCATTGCGAATGCATTTCCCTTTCCTGTAGTCGTGATGGTTCTTACACTTGGTCGCTAGATACTCCTTAGGGTTGATTATGGTTTTAACGTAGATCCTCCACGCCTGATAGTGGTTGCAAAATACTGAAAAAAAATGGGTACTAAGTCTTTACAATAAGCTGTCTTTTGTGTTCAAGTTAAAAAGATATTTCATTAAAGAAAATCGAAGCTAACTTTTCTCCAATTGTTGTGGCGTATCGTACTTACCCACTTCGGCTATAGATCCAGGAACTCTTTTCAAAGCAGTAATAGGATCGCATCCAGGCTGGAATGTTCCGCCATTGAACCAAATATTGACGTCTCCTACGGAGAATCGAGTACCAAAAATACCCGCATTGGTGTGGATAACGTCGACAAAGTCTGCATCTCCAATCGAAAGCCTTTCATTTTGTGGTACAAAGTCGAGCAAAGGTCCTGCTGGATCCAAACCTGTCAACAAGTAATCACATTCAATTTGGAATCAAATCTGGATCTTCGTTATATTTTTTAAATTCTAGAGGTTATGTCTTGGATTATTTTAAACCAAAAAAACTTAATGGAGTAAGTGATTGATTTTCGACATCTCGAAAACCAGTGATTTGTTCATTCAGGCTTTTTGGTATAACATGGTATGTTTGAGGACTAATTTAGTTGATGTTCTTTTCGTCAAACCTTTCTAAAAAAATTTCGTGTCTACAACTTTATTGATTTGGTAGTTGTTTCTGGGATACCCCAAGGATCAGTGTTTGGTTCTCTATGGTTTATAATCTGAATAAATAATCAACTTAGAGCTATTCTATTCTACTCCTTTATATGCAGATTACTGTAAATTTTTTACACTTATTAATTATTTCAGGGACTGAAAACTGCAGGGAATTTTGGAACTTTGTGGCTAGCACTTATAGAAATCTAGGATTTATGTTAGAAATTCTAAAAATTTTACAGTAGCATTTTGGTGGTATAGAATCTAGGTTCGAAATTCACAAAATTCTCGGTCTACTAACACTGAAACTTTTTTGAAAACAGAAACAAGATTCTAGCTTTTATAACGAATGATGTTACCTGTAATTCTGGGTGGTCTTCCACTCTCTAAGTTTTTCCCAACATACCCAGCAATGTGGGCACCAAGACTCATACCAATTATGTGAAGGTTATTTAGATCCAACCCCTTTTTAACTAAATAGTCCACGAAGCCCGCAGTGTATTTTCCTATGGGCTTTACGTTTAAGGCAGAGGTAACATAGAATGGACCTGCCAGCAGTCTCTCAATGTTGACTAGAATTACATTATACTCTCCTATTTTCAGATAATCTGTAACAGTATAGATTAAAATTGTTTTGCCATTGAACTGTCAATAAAAGAACTTCTATACTCTCCATTAAACTTACTGTCTTTTATTTTTATCCCATCCTCAGAATGCGATGACTCCAAATATCCATGGAAAAATAGGATGGTGGGAATTCTAAAATTTATATACGAGTTTACAAGGGACGAATCATTGCCTATTTGTAAAACTTGTGAAGTGTTATTATTCGCTCTGAAAGAATTAAGATAAATGATGTTTGAAGCAAAATTCTTTTTGCAAAAATTTTTACTTTGTGTAGAGGTCGAATGTGGCGTCTCTCTTTGGATCAAATTCTGGGCACAGTCTTTTGTTTACTGGATACAGCTGGTACGTGCCCGTGTCAAAAGTGGCCTTCGGTGGACCTAAAATAAAAAAAAAGTCGCGCCAGGCTTTAAATGTTTTAACCATCATTAAGTTAGTATCTTCATGGCTGTTTAGTGTTTGAATTGCAAAAAATTGTGACCTTGATTCTATTAATATCAAACGCATTTTTTTAACGAGAGGGCAAAATTCATCGTACAATAACCTTGTTTCCTTACATGCAAGAATTAAACGATATGAATATTATCATATAATTTAGAATTGAAAATAATACTAGACAGGTTTGGTTTCGAAGAATGGGAGAGAGAATACTTTTGTTTAGCAATTTTAGTAATGATTAATATGTAAAAACTGCAAATTTGAGTTAAGAATATATTTTTTTAAACTGATCAGTGTTACGTTAATAAGTATAAAATTTAATAACGTGTATTTGTTAACCAGTCAAATTGTCACATTTATATAAGTACACTGTAATAAAATAACAAGGAAACGATAAATATTTAAAAAATTGCGCTTGTTGCACATTGTGTAAACGAGTTTTTGTGTAAATTACTAATGCGCTAGTTATGAGTATGCACTTGTATCCACATAATTACTTTCTTAATTAATTGCAATTATTCCATTATTAATAACGTTTCATTACTCACTTTTTTATCCAATAAGTCAAATATTTGTCGGTTTATTGTTATTATCTTTTAAAATTTATTCAGAAAAGAGGATTTAAGCAGACCGATTTGCTTTTAAATTAACTGAACTGCTATATGTATGTACAGGTGGTTCAAAATCGACACTCTGCTATTTCCCATACAAAAAAATTGAAAAGAGTAGTTGAAATATCTCGGTGGATCGAACTTTTTTTCATTGCTATGTTAAAAATATTGATGGTACACTACATGTGAGTTATTAAAAAATTATTATTAACATTCATTCCGTAAAAAAATCTATCATTTGAAAGGAACTTATTTAGATTTAAAAAACGTATAAAGAAAATCGAGGCTATAATGTCTAAACTACAATCTTCTCTCGGTTTTTGAAAAATAGGCGCTTTAAACAGGCATTGCCATTTTTGGAGAATTCTGTTGAGAAATTTTACAGTCTTTAACTTTAATCACTTGGTATACCAGTTATGAAAGTATACAAACAATTTCCATTGCGTAATCCATATCATTAAAATCAAGGATTAAAGTAAATATTCACCTTAAACTTCACATATGCAGAAGGAGAACATTTTAGTGACCTGAATTCAAATTTACTCTGATTTGTCTGAAAATTCCATAACAAAGATCAAGGTTCTTGGTGCTTATTTAAAATATCAAATCAAAACTGTTCTTTAAAAATATGAACTGAATTTTAGAGAAACATGGTATAAATGGGCAGAGATTTTTTATTATAGAAAGCAGCTACCTATAAGCATAGTTTGTAAACTAATTATCTTCAGTATTAAAGAAGAATACATAGAAGCAAATATAAGATGCATGATTTATTCCAAATTTTTATACCTTTACAAAAATGTGTACTAAGAAAACTGTATTTCAAAAAAGGCATTAAATTCTAGACTAGTTTTTAGTTCTTTACAGAAATTGGAAGCGTCACCATAAATTCTTGTAGCTGAAATACTAATCAGCTAGAACCACTTTCTGCAGGTATTTAAAGCTAAAGCTTTAATAAAAAAATTTCAGCGATTTAATAAGTTTAATAGTAAGGACCTTCGTGGTCCTACACCAAAAAAAAAGAAGTGTTCTTTCTCACCTGGCAAAGAATATACAAAACACAACAAAACAAGTCTAACCATTACTGCATGATATGTAAAAGTGGTTTGCCATATGTCTTGAATGTTCGACCTTTAACAGCAGCGACGTATGTAAAGCTCATGTAACGCCTGTAATCTAAAATACTTATCTTTGTAACCCTATTATTATTAGTTACTGAACACTTATGTATTTACTGCGAAATACAAGCAAGTTAAAAAGTCTCTTCTGACTAGAATAAAAAATTAATATCTCCAAAATACTTGAGCTTTAGAGTCGATTAAGTTATACTACCGATTATCTATTACGCAGGTTTCCTCACTTAAAACTTTCTAAGATTGTATATCTTACCGTTTTTAAGATATATTAGAAATCAAGGTATGGATTAAAGTAAAAAAAAATAAGGGATTATGAACAACTATTAAGGATTTTATTTTTCTTAGCGTATTTTCTTCAATGATATGTATAATAATATATGCTATATAGACCGTAAAAAAGCTAGTTTGATAGATTTTTGTAGCTATACAGAATGTTTGAAATTGGACAACAATAATATTGCTACTTCGGAAATTGTCAAAGATAAAAAGGTGGTTAAGTTGGAGCAACATTGAATGGTTTAGTGCGCATTAATTTATCAAAATGAAATCGAAAATATCAATATCATTATAGCTTTTGAGATTTTTTGAACAATGTTTACTTCCAGGCTTTATTTGTTTTCTAGTTTCATTAGGAATTCACATACGAAAATAAAAACACTTTTTTATGCCATTTTTGTTTCGCTATTCGAATGTGGATAATTTGTATTAAGACGTTTCGCCCTTCAACCATCACCAGTATATTTTATAAATGTACATGTGTAAATAATTTTTTATTGTCTACCAGATAGATTGGCAAACTCATCGATAATGTGCTGGTACTTACTTTTTACAGTTTTATACGCAAGAGCACTCACGAATTTACAAAACATAAAAAAATAGAATAATATTAAAACTACATACTTACATTAGGACAAAACTTACTAGAAATATTGGTTTTATTTTGTTTTCCCCTAACTTTTGTAGCATTTATTTATTTTAATAATATTTCCAAAATACAACTACCTACGAAGAAAATATTATAAAATTTAAAAAACTTGTATAACTCATCTTAAAAAAATATATATTGACAATAAGTTTTCCAGTTCCAAATGCTACTCAACGTCACTAGAATTAGAAGGAAATAAAGGGTACAATGATGCCAAAATATTAATATAGGTTTGTATCAAACAATTTAAAATAAACTGATGATGATCGTTGAATGACGAAAACTCGCAATAAAAATTTGATTCCAATCTCGAATAGAGGAGCAAAAATTGAATTAAAAAAGTGTTTTTCTATGTTCATTTTCAAATAAATCTAGAAATAAAATTCTCATTTTTTCTTCGAGAAATTGATACATATTAAATTAGAAAATTTTACTTCAATTGAACCTTTTGTAACATATTTCGTGTTAAAAATATCGTCGTATAATTAATAACGGCCATTTTATCATCATCAACTGGTGCAATACAAGTCAGTATGTTTGCTATAAAAATGCGGTCCCAATACGCGATAGATGTAGCATCCACATCTGTCCACATATACGTAGCCTAACAGTATCTATACAGGACCATCGATTTAATTTTATATACTATCTTCCATAAAATATAAAATACTTTTATTATACCACTCTGTATTAGTTTTTTATATTGTTTTGTTGTCTATTCAATATATGTATAAACTTATGGTCACTTTGCTACGTAAAAACGATGTCCAACTAATTGGATGCAGGATAAGCGTTGTTGATAACCGATAATGAATAAAACGTCAACGGCAGTAAAAAATTAACTACTGTTAAAATGTGTTTGAATAAAATGATTTTTTTTGCAGCCATAGCTCATGATTAATAACGGTTAGTTCGACTGTAATGTTAAAATACATCTGTGGTTTACTTTGATAAAAAACAAATGTAATATGTTCATTAATAAATTTATATTTAATTAATTCCAGCAATTACAATTTTTCCAGGTGAATTAATTTATTATTATTAAAATTAAATTACTAATCAAATTTAATATAATTTTTTACACAGCAGTCTGTGAAAATATAAAATATTTAATATATGGCATATTTGAACAGAAAAATTAATTAAAAAAAATGAGGCTACCGATAATTTTTGTCTCAAGTACCAGCCTGTTTTATATCAATAAAAAGCCTTTCCCTAAAAACGTTTGCAGAAGGTTGAAGGTTATAAATAAGTTGAAGAGTTTAAAAAACAATAATTTATTATATACAGCATAGAAATAAATATAAATAAATAAATATTTTATAAGCTATCTCTTAATTAGTATAACCATCGGCATCCCTTCCTGTATATATAAAATAGTTTCCTCTAGCTCTGAAAAAGTTAAAAAAAATGCTTAAATTGTGTTGCTTTGTTTGGGACTAGTAAATATAGCTAAATTTGATTTTCCGTTTTAGATAATGTAATGATATCATAAGCAGCGAGATTTTCTTGAGTGTTGAACAAATTAAAACGTAGAACAGCTAAATTAATTAGATCAAAGGTAAACATTAAGGAAACCGGTGATTTTAGCAACTGTTTACTTTTAACCAAGTTCCTATCAATGAAATAGTAATTTTGCAATTAAGGAACTCCTCCGCATATCAGTAAATCATACTGTTTAACATGTCTTCCTTAAATAACTGATGAAGGCAAATAACTCCGAAACAACAAACCACAAATGAGCTGGAAAACAAACTTAATTACCAAACTAGAACCCTTACTTTTCATTTACAGAAATTCCCATGAAGGTTTTGTTGTTGAAGCTGCATTTACCATCCTTGAATTCCTTGTAGCTGGAACACTGGGTAGCTAGATACCTCTGCGAGTCCGTCAAAGATCTAGCGAACAGTTGGTACGCCCGATAATGATCACAAAAGACTAAAAACCAGTTTTTTGTTATAAGTAGGCAGAATTTAAATCGAATTACACTGATAGAATTGACCCAGCAGTCTACTGGAGCGTTCAATGAATTATTTATACGCCCCAATTGAGTACCGTTTCACCCCCATGTAATACCTAAAAGCGTTAAAATGATTTCTCAACGGTTTTATTGGAAAACAAGTGGAAAGTGACCGATTCGTATAAGAACTTACTAAATAGGTATGTAAACTTTATTAATTTACTTACGAAATTGTTCATAAATATTTATAAATTGTTAATTAGTCGGGCAGACCATAGTAACTGAAACTAGGGAAAGTGTAACGCAACGGATTGGTTTTTATTATCTCTTACAACTATCTAATCCAATTTTTATTAAAATTCTCCGAGTTCGTAGCAGAAAAAAGACATTATTGCAAAATATTGACATTTGGAATAACATTTAACATAAAAATCTCATAAACATTTCATTTAAATGAAACTTTTTCACAATTGTTAGTACCCACCAAGAGTATTTAAGGAAAAGGGACGTCGAGAGAGGCGGTCAGCAAGCGAACAACTTGGTTGGACAGGGCCACCCCCATTGGGCCAAAAATCTACATGACCACAAGGATATTTGTAGCCGAAAACACCCTTGTTGGAATGTATCACATCCACAAAGTCAGCATCACCAGGATCCAGTCTGTCGTCCTCAGTCACTCCGTTGTACAATGGACCAGCAGGATCTAAAGCTGAAAAGAGCTAGTTGCTAATATACATCACTGGTTTGTATCAATTGAATTATAAAAAAAAATTTAACTTGGAAATGATCTGATATAATTTAACAATGTAAAGTATATTCAAGAGCTAAATTTTAACAAAGTGTTAAAACATTAACAGAAATGTTAATACTAGGGTCACACACAGGGAAAAACTAAAACAAACTTATACCAGTTATCCTGGAAAGTCTTCCAGACTTGATGTACTGCCCCACAAACCCCGATATTTGTCCTCCCAAACTCATCCCAATAACATGCAACTTTTTCAGGTCCAGTCCCTTCGTCACTAAATAATCAATGAACTGCGCCGCATACCTTCCGATGTGTTTGCAGTTGGTCACGGCATTCAGGTAATATAGCCCAGCTAGAAGTCTCTCAGCATCCACTATTATAACGTTGTAATCCCCTCGTTCAATAAATCCTGGAAATATGTAAATGGTATTACAGTTTGAGACGGCAGGCTTCTTCAAAAACCAGAGAATACTATATTTAGCAAAATGTAAAATAGTCAGAGAATAGTTCACAACAAGAAGGAAGTCAAAAAGTTGCCCACGAACCACTTTAGAGGTAAGTACGGTAAGTTCACCAACAAAAAAAGTGTCTAGTTAGAACTGTTATTTTTTTCTCCTCAGATTTTATTATACAGCGTGATTCACAAATGGTGACCAAACCTCGTATTCTTTGGTTAGTTAATTTTAAGGGGTCTTTTCTATAAAGTTTTTATCTAAGACGCTTCGTTAAAAAGATACAGTGTGTTAAACTTCAAAAAATATTTTAAATTTTTTTGAATAATTTGAAAACTAGTAAGTGAAATAATTTGAAATTGGGCACATATATTTATGTAAACATTGTCCAAAATCTGAGGGCTATTCCTAAAATTTAGATGTTCCAGTGGCGAAGATACAAGGTATCGGCGGCATATTTTTCTAAATAAAATAGTACGCCACTGCTTTACAGTAACAACCATGATATTTTCGGATTCGTCTTTTATGTTTTACGAAAAAATCCTGATTTTCGAGTAAAATTTAAAAAACGAACTGAAAACACTTTTACTTTTTATGTATTTTTTGTCATACTTACCTCTTCCTATTCTTTGAGAATCGTCAGCCATTAGCGACTCTGTGAAGCCGTGAAAAAAAATCACAGTTGGCCGAAGAAAATTCATGTTGGAAGCGCTCAGGAGACTATCATTTTCTATCTCTAGGATTTGAGAAACCTTTGGGTTCTCCCTGAAAATAACAGATAGACACACAGTATTTACAATATACAATATTATTTAAGTTGATTAATATGTAAATGTATACATAATTCAGGTATTTAAATGTACATTAGGAAATAATTATAAATTCAGAACCTTAACCTTTAGTTTCTTCCTTGAGAAATAGCACAAGATAAATATACGTGTCAAAAATAAGCAGTATAATTATGTTTTTATCTAATTTGTTCCTAAATTGTATAGTGGTTTATGTAGCTGTATAAATATTTAAAAAGAAATTTACAAATTTTGTGTGTTGTTTGTGTTTTAAGCAAGAATCGCACCAAGAATTGAAAAATTTGCATGGATATAGACAAACAACATAAATTTTAACCAGCAGTATCGAACTCAGCCGCCTGTGATCTGCAGATTGTAATTTCAATCTTGCTAGACATCAGGTCAACGCCAACAGTTACTTTTACATGATCGGCACCTACAGCAATCCACTTATTTACCATTTCTGTTTGTTAGGATTTAAATAACAAAAGTAAAGTAATTATAAACACAAGTAATCCTGCAATATAAAAAATGACATTAACAAAACAGGTCAATGTTTCTGAAAGCTATAAAAAGTTGATTTGTTTGCATTTTTCTTAAATAAGGAACACAATCTAGTTATTACCTTCACTGCTTATAAAGTTATTAATTTTATTAGAAAAACGTAATACCATAATTAATCATAAACTATGTTTTTTTTAATAACTTTGTACCATAAAATATGTATTTGAAGAAAATCTGTCGCAGACTTATTCGTTCCAAATCACAGTAAAAAATTAAATTTCTAATCTACTGTTGTCAATATCTAGTAGGTACTTTTTAATGGTAATCATAGTATTAAAAAATTATACTAAATATTTATAGAACCTTATAAATAAACTACGTACCTATCTATGTATGTTCAAAACTAAAGTGAATGTTATTGTAGAATCGCACAAAATAGTTGAAATTAATGTAATCATGTAAACATAACTGAATTACCTTTAATATTTTTTATTTTATTTCCGTCTAGAGCCAAAAGGGTCATGACCAAATGAAAGTCGTTACAGAGCATAAAGCACCTGCCGTAATTGTAAATCTTACTCTCACTTTCGTTCTCTTGCTTACATTAACCGTTAGTATAGATTTCGAAGGTACGTTAAAGAAAAAATTATCGATATTTATGATTAGGTTATAATTACAGTTTATTTCATTATGAACTTGATTTTATCTAAATTTTAATGCTGAATTTTAATAAGGATACATACAAGTATTTGATACGAGAATTTGCTATTTACCAATTTGAGTACATATTACAATGCTAAGGACAAAAAACTAATATTTGTTGCAACATCCATTTCCTCTAATGAAATTTGATGTAATACCTACGTAGTTTATAATTATTTTGCCATTACTATAACGAAAATATTACTATATCATTTTGCAAAAAATATGTCAACAAGGTAACATTTGACAAAACTTTACTGATTAAAAATGAATTTAAAAGAGTGGATGCAATTAAATAAATTGTGAACCGAAGTGAGTGTAATATTAATGCTACCCAGTATTATTTTGCATATTTTTTTAGTAAATTTTTTACTGAAATCGAAACAAAAATCAGGCAATCAAAATAACAGTTTGATTCAGAAAAAAAACTCTAAATCAGATAAAACATAAAATTAAAAAAAAATGACAATCGCCTCAGATTACGGTAGGCATTGAAAAAAATGTAAATGCCAATTTGTAGTATTATCCACTCTTTTGTTTTTTAAAATCAGACCAATAACGGTGGAGTTATAGCTTGTGGCATTTTTTATAAAAATATTTTTTGTATCTGAACCAAGGAAACACTTTTTCATTAGAACGTCTCGAAACTCGAACTATATTAATCTAGTATCTTCACTTTTTTAAAATAAAGAAAGAAATATAAACTTAATTACATGTTGAATAACAATTTTTTTAACGGGTTGCGACCAAGTAAATATTATTTATTTTATTTATTTATTTTTTAATTTTCGATAAAGCAAACATTTTATTCGAATACTCACCTTGTAAATAAGTTGAAAATCACATCCCTGTGAGGATCTATCTTCGGACACAAGTTCTTATTCACAGGATACAGGATCAGCGAGAAATTCTGAACGAAATACATCGGCGGTCCTAAAACCACCCAAAAAATATATCAAATATGAACCACCGCACAAACAAAATAAACAGTGCCCACCTGGTAAGCTGTACAAAAGACAAAACACATGCGAAGCCAGCGCAGCCATCGCCAAAGCGCTGATAAAAAATAGGCCCGGTCTCAGGAAACAAGTGAACTATGAGGGGTCCAGCGCCTACTTAGTATAGTGGCAGGCTTGATTTGCTGTATTTTAATATTTATACATAAAGTTTTACTAATTACTACCTGCTAAGTCGGAGAATTATTATGAATGACCTTTTTTTTATTCGGTTATTTTATCGTTAGTCCTACAGAACTGTGCGTGGTTTTTAAAGCGATTTTCACTGTTTTATTGACGCCTGTGTGATGAAATTTTGGTTGAAGAACTGTTAAGACCTTTAAGGCGGTATTAAAAAGTTAAACGATTTTAATATACTTGGATAGAGAAAATATAACATTATTACGCAAATTTAACCCTCAAATTTGAAGGATAAAAGTTGTATTCACTTTGTATGTAACATATTCCAAAATAACGTGCATTTAATGATTGTGTTTCTTATTAACTTCCTATTAGGTACTTATTATTATCATTATAAATGGTTATATCCAAACAAATAGCCTCTAATGTCGTTAATAAATGTTTAACTGTGTGTATCTAAATTGTTAGATGTTCCTAATGATTATTGTTAAGTCCTACAAAAACTTAGAAGTACCTTGATAACATCTTAATTAAAAAAAATATGTTCCATCGGACCTGAATTGGTTTAAGTGATTTTTTGGCAACTATTTCCGAGGATATACTTTATATCCTCGAAAATGGGCGACAAAACTTTTTGTCTAAAGTAAATCGACACATATCGTGAAATATCTACCTTCCAGTTTGAAAAAAAGTTTTGAAAAATGTACGGTATGTAACAAAGGTCACAAGCATTGAGGATGAAATAAAAACAAACAAGTTTTACAAAAAATCCCAAGACATGTCGATTTTTATTGTTTCAAAACATTATTTTTAACGATATTGTTAAATTTTAAATTCAATTGTTTTTGTATTGTTGGGAAAAATGTCTTGTACAAGATTACTATATTATTGTGGTTCTGTGTTTACAAAGAAACTGTCATGATGGTAATCATCCATAAAAATTAATTTCCTATAATTCCACAAAAGAAAGTGTTATATTTATTGCATTAAAATGTAATAATATTGTCCCATTAGGTTACATAATGTATATCTACTTCTGTGATTGCAGTAAAAAGTAGTAGATTTCACCACAATGTTGTTTTTTTATTTAAAATTATTTATAGAAATTACAAAAAAAATAATAGTGTAGGCCTGACCCTGACATGCGCAGTAATAATTCTTTGATGTCCCTGTGGCTTTTATCCTTTTTTTAGAATAGTGCTAGTTAACTTTAGCTCTGTCACTTATGCAGACGTGTTAGGTTTTGCTGTTCGTTGTGAATAATTATATAAAAAAGATTTATAATACATAGATTTGCTTGACAAACTGAAACGTATTAACACAGTGCCATTTGTCATTGACACATTAACAGCAAATTGTTAGTAGTATGTAAAGTCATAACAGGTTGTAAACACCTTTATTAAAAGCGTTTTCCAAATTCATTTATTGACTGCAGTCGAATACTATTTGGTTTTTATTATTTCTTTTCCCCTATTTATTGTATTGCTTTTGTAACTTTCATTGACGTAATAATTATCGTTGTTATACATATACTTGCATATATTTTTTAGCAAACCAAAGACATTTTCTACAAAGTTTGTAAACTAGAGACAGATATTAAGGCATATTAAAAAATCCCAATTTTGGGTTATTTTCAAAGAGCTGTAACTTAGAGGAAAAAGGTCGTAGAGACAATAAATAAAAGGAAATTGTAGCTTCAAGTGTCTAGTTTTCAAATCTGCAGTTTAAAATTTTTTAGCGTCAGCAGTTTTTGAGTAATCAGAAGAAAGTTAACGGAAAAAAAAATGTAAATTTTTGCATTTTTTAAAAAGGCCATGGACTTTTTTTTTGGTAATTTCATCATAAAGCTCTTTTAGATAATTTAATTCTCTTCAATTTGAGCGGTTCCGGTTTTGACTTTGGCAATCAATTACTCGGGAAATAATAGTTGTACAGAAAATCCAAGCAGTGTTTTGAAAACTGCAAAGTATTCTCTACAAATCGTAATTACGGGTTTTTGAAATGGATATTGACTGTAACTTTTCAACCTCAAAGTGTCCTAAAGAAACCCTGATAATTTCAAAACGCTGCGACTTTTTTTTCTTAGTGCCTGGAATATTTGTCGTTTTTGCTAAAAATCAATGTGATAAGTAATTTTTCATTTTTTATTTATTTTTTTAAGTTAAAAATGTTTTTTAGCTATAATCAATAAAACATCTACTATCATCACTCACTAAACTATCATCAAAAAACGTTCGTGATTCTATTTTTTTTAATTTTCAAAAATTATTTTTTACAAAATTTTCTTAAATATATTCACAAGCTTCACAAACGCCAAAAACAATTTGGTTGATTAATATTTCCTTTAGAGTTTTAGAAGAACATAATACTCACCAGGAAATCAATAGAAAATACAAAATGGTAAGATTGCTAGTAGTATAATCAAATTTTAATGCAATGTATGTAAAGAACGACTTGTTATGAAGAGACCTCTAATTGTTTTTACTTTGATATTATCAAACGCCTTTCAAAAGTTATCAACGGTTAAGGCAATTTAATACTATCAATATTTTAATTAAAACAGTAGATATGTACCTATAAGCTTCGAAAAAATTATGTATCACAATTTTAAACTCTTACTTAAATATTTGTTTTAAAAAAATCTGTATTTTCTTCCTAATCCTAATTTAAATTGTAACGAACTAAATCAAAGGACTTGTTTTCTGGCGTATATTGTTCAAATGAATTTTGGCAAGTCTGTTTTTAAATTGTCTCAATAATTTCCTAGCTGATTGCCACGTCATCGGTTTAGAGTTCTTGACTTTCCAGTGACGTACCACTCATTGGAAAATTAAGTTGTTTAGTTGTTATTTTTATCTACATTATGCATTGGTCCATGACGTTTCCATGTAAAGCTTGTAGTAAGTTGTCCACGTCGTTTGGTCCTTGATTTCTGCGGATGAATGGTTTCCAAATTCCAGATAGTTCTAATCTCCTATCTTGATTAAAATGATTTCAGTTCTACTGGATTTCTGTCATCTTCTTGTATTGGCCAAAACCTCTCTTTGACTAGAATTGTGGTATTAGATAGACTTTTTCCTTATACTTAAGTGTTTTTCTGACGATCGCTCGATATTTCTGTTTGTGTACCCATTTTCTTATGAGCAAATCAAAAGTGTAGTTTCTCATTAAAATATTCTGGCTCGCAATTGGTCCATTCGCGATGTAGGTACCAAAGTAATATTTTTGAGCTGATGTGAGTAGGCTTCATGTAAACGCTTTGCCCCAAGATTCCGTCTGATTTTCTCTTGACAAGAACATCTACGAATGACATAGTACCATTTTGTTCTATCTCCATGATGAAGCTAATGACCGGTATATCCCATTGATGTGGTTGAGAAATCGATGTTGTTTTATCCGTAGGGACTGATAATATCGTCCACATATCTGAACCAATACTGACTGTACAGTTACTGACTCCGTGGGTGCTCACAACAAGAGTACACCTATAGCGACTCCTTCAGTTTGATCGTAAAATTGATCCTGAAAGAAGAAGAAGAATCATCTCATGTACACCTTTGCTAAGTCTACTAAATTTTCGTCTTTGTCTTCCGCAAGTAATTTTCGATGAAGTTCTTCCAAGGATGTTGACATGGTGTTCTGATTTTACTAATATGTCTTTAATTTGGTGTGATATTTTCCAGGGGAGTAGTGAGTGGCTGATCTAACTGTACTCACTATTGGTTCAGTTTATGGATCTTTGGGAAGCAATAAAGTTGGGATCTTCGAACATTCGAAATAAGGTCCATATGTAGTTGCTTGGAAATGTTAAATGCTCGAATCATAGATTCCACTTCTTTCTCAACTTTATTGATGGCGTTGTTCTGGATCTTCTTATACAGCAGGTCCTGTAGTATGTTCCTCACTTTGGTAATGTACCCTGAAGGGTTCAAGATGACGGTTGTATTTCCTTTGTCGACCGAGAATATGGCATCTTTTTCGTTTTCTTTCAATTCTCTGATGACTTTTCTTGACAGATTTGTACCTAATATTTTGTTATGATTATATGTGTGTATGGTTTTATATGTTAGCGCCAAAATAAAATTTGTTTGTTTTGATATTAATTTGGTTGGATTGGTGTATTATGTATTGTATATCTTCGCCCTATCTAGCTCTAGACTCTATCTCCGTAGTCGGTTCTATGTTTTAGCAAGAAACCACACCAATCACAGCTATAAAAACAAAAGGTTTAGTAATAAATGAATTTATTATTTTTTTGTTCTATATATGTCAAAATTTGTCACTCTAAACTCTTAAACACACTAGTCAATATATTTTGAAGTATTTCACAATGTTTATAAAGCCTTATACAAGAAGTTATATTGATAATATCATTAAATTAAATTTCATGCAATACTGGTTGCATACCTTAAGACACTGTAGTAATAACTTCTTGTTTAATACTTATTAATTTTCTCTACTATTAATATTTAATTCTACAAAGACTTGGCCAGTTTTAAATAGATATGAAGTGATTAGATAAATTTACTTAATAGTGAATTGGTGATTTACTAAACGTTTTATATTAATTTTTGTTTTCTGTATTATATATCGTATACGATTTTGTTTTATTATAAGAGGTACCTTTTTATACTTATAATCGTTAAAGATGTGTTGATTAACTTCTCTCCTTTACTTTGTTATCTCGATTCTCTCCTATGCCAATGATATGCGGTTTACTTCCTGTTCTCTTGACTCTCCTACTGGTCTATGAACTCTGCTACTGTTGTTCTGCGTTCTTTATCTCTCCCTGGACCTGGTTAGTGGAGGATCCGCTTGTCTCGAATTTCGTAAATACCTGCTTTCTCCAATTGATTATTTTAATTCCTTGTTTTCTCCTATTTGACTCTTTTTTCCTTTTCTTGCTTCTTGACTGCTTCTATTTCTCTCTGTTTTCTTTTCTTACTTTTAACAACTGTCGTTTTCAAAATTCTTTTTGTAACTAATCAATAAATCCTTTTCTTTTCTTACTATCTTGATTTTTTTTCTTTTTTTCTAAAGGCCTTTCCACATATCTTTGAACGTGTCCTTTTCCTCTTATAATTCACTTCACTTCACTTTCTCTTATTCACTTATACACCCTATTCTACTTTCTTTACATTCAATTTTGTCTTATACTTCAAAATATTTTTTATTTTCTCATATTATTTGACCTTTCTAGTGACTACAGAATCCTTGTGTATTCTACTTTAAATTTGACATTTTTCTGACATATATTTTAATTAATCTACAAATTGTCTTTCATTTTTAATATCATTTATTACCTCTTATTCTAACTTATTTTTTTAACTATTTACTAACATAATAATCAACTTAATCATAAATTTTATAATAATCATTCCAACCATTTACTTTGCCACTTTGTCTTTTACATAACGATTTAAATTTAAATTTTACTTTTATCCCGTTAATCTGGTTTCATCTCAATATGTGCCCTTTAATTCTCTGCAGTTTTTCGTCGTTTAGTTTAAATTTGGTAATCTCTATCGATACTTAGCCTCATTTTTGGGAAATTTAAATCTTTTTTACTAATGCCACGGTACGCCACGATAGCGCAGTCGGTCGAGAGTGCGGTGGCAAGCATTTCTCGGCTAGGCTTCCTATTCTGGTCCGGGTTCGATCCCCGGTGTCGGCACTGGCAATGTCGATGGATAATGGGTGTTTGTCCGCGTTTTTTCAAGTGTAACCCCCTTCCGCACAGCCTTTGGCTTTGGATTTGGGGGTTGTCTCATTTCTGTGGTGTGTTTTATGTTTTATGTTTTATGCGACGTTAAATTCCAAAAGCATTTGAATATTTCAGCACTAGACAACGCTGCGATGAAAAATTGGGTAAAAGCTAGTTCTAGTTTTAAAATAAATTTTCCATTTCAAAATAACAAATTAGTTTCCAACCTTTTATCAATAACCATGTAAAATGAACTTATTTGTTTTTATTTCTTTGCTTACTTTCATATTTTTAATTTTAATTTTCTTGAATTTTTTAGCAAATATCTATTTATTATTCTCAAAGATGGTAACATTTTATTGTGAGTGAAGATGAGGGAAGATGATTATCTTCCCTCTATCAAATGAAAATAAAACAATCATGTCATTTTAAAATATTTATTTACAACCGAAAGCACGTTATTCTGTGCCTATTCTACAATAAATAAACCCTAGACTAGAATCTCACTGTAGGTAACATTATTGGAGCAATCTAGTTTATTTACAAGAACAATAAATAGAAAGTTTTTCTACTAAAACAGGCTCAAATTATTCATTAAGTTTCTTTGCCAGTTTAGAAAACGTGTAAAAATGTACATTGTGATCTAAGTCCACAAATATGTTAGTTTATTATAATTTAAAGAATTGGTCTTCAAGATCACCCTGTATATTATAAATAATAATTACTAATTAACAGGTTTTTTACATTAACTAATCTACTTATTACAAATTTTATGTCAAAAAGTATTTCCTCATTTATACAAACAAAAAATGCACTACAAAAGTATATGGAGTTGTATATTCGTGGGGGTAATTTCTAATATTCATTGTGTATTGTTTTTATATCATTCAAAATTGAAACTTTTATGAAATTTTAAAAATAAACATAAAACGGTGTTCAAAATGTACCTGAGAACTTTGAAGAAAAATTTATTCCCTTTGAATCAAATTCTGAACACTTATAGGTATTCCTAGACACTATATGAGCTGTTTCCTATACTTAATATTAAAAAAAAGTTCTAAAAGGTGGTGTATTTACAATAACTATTATCATCGTCCTTACGTCTTCGAAAATGGCGATTCCGTGTTTGTTCTTAGATAATAGTTTCCTCGTGCCCTAGAAAAAAAAGGAACATTAATTAATAGTTATACAAGAATTACTTTAACCTACAGATCCGCGTTGTTAAAGTAAATACGTAGCATTCTTTTGTATAAAAAAAATGTGTGAACCTTGATCTATATTTGTAGAGTTCAGTGTTTCAGGCTTGCCCAATACCTAAACCTATGTACTGATAGCCACGCCCTATAGTCGTATACACTAACAAAACTTGAAACTGATAATAAAAATATTATATTTGTGAGGTACCTACATATGAATCCCTTACACTTTAATTAAAATAACTCTTTACCTCCAGTCTACGTACAACCCCATCCTAGAAATTGGCCGTTCCTCAGGGCTACACTTCCCACTGGTGTAGTCTTCCCAGTTATCGCAAGATACAGCATCGGCGAAAGCGTACGGATTTATCACGGATTCTGCGAAAAACTGGTAGGACCTCCAATGACTACAGAAGACTGAAAGAAACTCCCTTAATAAATATTTCTGACCAAGAATAGTATGAAGTTACTTACAGGGTTCGAGAATAGAATCCGGACTCCTCCTCTTCACTTCAGGGATGGTACATCCTGGCTGAGGCGAAATTCCCTGATTTGGCCAAAAATCCACATGACCTATTGGCGTGGGATAACCAAATATCCCGGCGTCTGTATGGATAACATCTACGAATTCTGCATCGCTCGCATCAAGCTTCAAACTCTTTGGCCATTTCCTGAATAGAGGACCTGCTGGATCCATACCTACAACACATTTGAGTAACATATTAGTTAATGCAAGACAACAGTCAAACGTCCCTAAAGGCATTGAAGAATCTCTAGATTACGTCTAAACTGGTCTGGAGATTACTGAAAAAGTGAAACTTCCGGATCATAAAGAGTTAATTCTAATAGCGCCTTCGTCAAACAACCATCAAGAAAGGAGCCCGAAGAATTATTACCGTCATTCAGTTCAATGCCAATTTGCAACAAGGGAACGAAAGGAAGTAATCATGCCTTGCTCCAGTTTGAAACATTGAACCATAGAAGAGATAATCTGAATTAGATCAAGAAAAGTATTGTGTTAAACCCATAGCGAGGTTCTTGAAGCTGGTGCGAAGGACCAGAGGACTAGAATGGGTGCTAGATTGAAAATGGGAGATTCAACACAAAAAATCACAAGGTTGCGGTGCTTCCGAAGGTATTGCCAAACAATTCTCACAAAAAAAAAATATTAATTTTTCAAATTTCTGTAAGAGTCGCTATTCTAAGTAATTCGTGTCTTTTTACCTGTTATCCTTTGGATTCTCCCACTCTTAACGCTCTGCCCGCACACTCCAGCCATCTGAGCGCCCAGACTTAGACCCGTCAGATGCAAGCTGGGCAAGTAGAGCCCTCGCGATACCAAATAGTCGATGAATTCGGCAGTGTACTGTCCCACTACCATCGTATTTTTCGATGCTGTCAAATACCATGGTCCCGCTTCCAATCGCTGGGCGTTTACCAACAGAATATTGTGGTCACCTCGATGGGTGTATGCTGAAAATTTGACAGAATATTACTTGACGAAAAGGTAGATTTTTTCGTTTTCGATCACTTAATCCATATTTTCTCATTCTAAATGTGTAAACTAAACATAATTTAATGAAATCACAAGTCTGGTTATTGTTTATATTTTATTTTGCTCATTTTGAGATCAGTTTTTTGAAAGTTCAATTCATCATAAAAAATTCCTAGCTGATAGCTACTACTTTATATTTTTATTCAACTAAATTTGAAAATAAATAAATAAAACTAAAAATAAAAATTGACTTGGCACCTATTAAAGTTTCAGTTTTGCAATAACTGTTACCTCGACGTAAGTAATTTGAAAAATATTACAGTCATGTCAATATTAATTTTAATTAACAATTAATTTTGCCTCTTTTTTCAGCTTCCACGCGGTTTTATGTTTTGCAACAGGCCGATCTGTAAGGCAACAAGCCTTAGCTGGATGTCAGGTTCGGTCAATGTCGTTAGCTTTCACCGATATGCACTATTATGCAGCGCTGAGGCAGGCCAAAGCTATTTGCATTGGCAGCAAAACAAACAGCACGTGAGCTTTTTTGTCTATGACTTGCGGGATTTGCTTAAAAATAGCATCTCCGTAAAAAGATGCAAATGGTGATTGCGAATTGATCCCTGTGAACTGTATACGCGGACAGGGTTTTATCGAATCTGCTGGAAATGGAAATGGCCACCTCTCTTTACAGATTTTGATGTATTTGACTTTTTTCTTAGAATCGTGATGATGAAAGTTTAAATAACAAATAAATAAAATACATTAAGTAGTGATTAAAAGGAAAACTTACCAGTCCGTATCAAAGTGGCAGGAGTAGCTTGAGAAGACTCGAAGAAAGCATGGAAAAACAACACTGTGGGTTCGGAGAAGTTAAAATGTGATTCCGCTAATGCTCTGTCGTCTCCTATTCGTAACTGTGTGGGCTGCAGTGGGTTGTACCTAGAAATAAAAGTATATAAAGAGATCAATTTGTAAAAAAAAATGTAAAAATATCGTAATAGAAACAGAAAATGTTTCTATTTCCCTTGATAGTAAAATTCCTCTGCAAAGTATAAGAAGGAACTAGTAAATCAGTAAGTTTCAGGATATTCGCTTTTTTATTCTCAATATAACCCTGACTTTTACATATCACAAATTGATTTCGTCAGTTGGGTAACTGAAAATTTTTGTTCGAAATATATTATATATAAACACTCGAAATTATCTATCTGAAACTCAATTTTAACGATCAAATCGTGAGTCACGTTTAGATTTCCGCTTCCCACAAACAAAGGTGTAGGTATTGCCAAAGTCAATAATATATCACTCTATTTCCACAGAACAAAACAGATCTTTCGACAATTTATTGTAGGGTTAACGACACCAGATCTCTGATACCTTGCGACCTGAAATTCAATATTGATTTACTTAACAATGTAAAACAATTCTATGGGGAAAGATTTTTCAAGCTAACTGGGGTAAAATCGATAGAGATGGTATGGGGGTAAGATGATTAATTGCAATGATTTTTTTTGTTTTTTAATAAAAATCATCTCTGCGCAACAAACATCGAATAATATGCAAGTTAATAATTGTTAAACATTGTTTTATAGGCTTGCGAATGTATTTGTATATTTTTTACATTTGTTGTAGTAATATCTTTCCCGCTCATTCAATTTGTACAAAGCCATTATTACAATTCTGATATATTTAATCAAACGTCCAGTCTGTTTCGGTGTTCAATACTTTGCGCACGGTTTTTTATTATTTTCATTAACGATATCACGAATAATTGTAATGTTCACTCTTTGTCATATGCTCTTAATTTAAAAATCTACACTACTGTAAATTCTGTATCTGACTGTAAAAAATTTTGAGTACAATTTGGACTTGCGCAGCATGTGTTCTGACAATAATCGTCTACCTCTAAATGTTTCTAAACGTAATGCCAAGTCCTGTTCTTTATTTATTCATGCAACTGTATTTTTTTAACATAATTAATCATTTCCTTTGTATTTCTGTTATTTTTTGTATATGACTATTTTCCATTAATTTTCGTCGTAGAATCTAGTGGTAAAGTTTGGGCCATTCTATAACGGACACCCTGTATATGTATATAAGTAAAAGTTTTTACTATTCACATTTACAATCTGGCGTGTACTTCAACAGCCACTAAAAATTTAATAGATACAAACGAATAAATGACAGCTTCAATCAACACCAGTACCGGTAGACGGACAATTTTTTAAAGTAATCAATAAACACCGCTCACGTTATTTTTAATGTTATTAGACTGAGCTGTACGGGCGTGGCAGCTTTTATAAATATATTAAATGAAATCTACTGGCTCGTACAGAGATATTAAATGATATTTACGGTAATTACTTGTATTATTCGGTGGTCACGATAAAATATGAACGGTAGCCTTTGACGTAACGTCATAGAGAATATAGTTTCATTTTTTCTTCCTGTTATAAAGAATTCGGCCTTGCAAGATATTATGAACAGTAAAAAAACTCATAAATATTCAGTAGAAGAAATTACAACACTGGTTTAGATGCAGCAATAAAATTAGCATTAGTGATAAAAACTGTTATTACTTTATTATTGTTATCGTTTTTTAACCTTTCATGAAAAAGAGCAATAACTTTCTGTTATTACAGAAATGGATAATAATTTTAAAACCTTTTTCAACTACATCCTGTAAATATATAACATACAGAATGCTTCAATGAAATGTCTCGATAGATGTAGAGATGTAGGCACCCTTTTTTTTACTTAAAACATCAATAAGAGATACATCTACTAATTCTGTCTTTGTACAATTTTGTTATTTTATTATGTGTTAAATATAAATATTTTAGCCAAAATTTTATAATAATTGAAAAATTTTAATTAACATGAAAATTCATGATGAATTTTATTTCAGTTCAGCGAAATATTAAACCACACTTTTCAGTAACTGGAAAACAAAAGATCATTAGGATAATAAGAATTAATAGTTACAGTATTATAATTTTGCCGTCATGGTATATTTTAAGGTGTGAAAGAATTCTATGAATTTACATTTCGTATCATAAAATCAGAGTAAAAGTATGTAGGTACTGTTAAAATATTACAAATAGCAAACAATACCTACAGTAAGCGAAAAGTGTAATGCGAATGTGGAAAAATTATCGAAAGGAAAATTAAATCTGGAAAAATTCAATAAGGATCAAATTTGGTAATTAAAGTGGCTATATTAACTATCCATTTGCACAATTCACACACCCTACACAGGGTACGTGCTGAAAATAGTAATAATATATCTAATATGAAAACAGTGTTAGAAATAAGTAATATATTTATTAAAGGATAAAACTACGTTATTATAGGTAGATATTTTTTGAATTCATGTCATTAACATCTTGACTAATTGTAATTAAATACGACAGTAATAATTATTTCAAAAACAGGTTTATACAGAGTGTCGAGTGATGAGACATTAGACATATTTCAGAGACTACTTCAATTTTAATTTTGATAATTCTTTCCATGAATAAACAACAAATTTAGAATTTCAGCATTTGAATAAATGTTTTCCATTCTTTAACAATAAATAATACTCAAATAAACATTCACTGTATGTGTTAAATTGGCAACAATAAACCAGTAACAGATTAGGTGCTTGTTTTGAAGTTCCACTAAGAATTTGACAGCCATCCTCACAAGAAATTATGCGATATCCATTGACGAAAAACAGTAAATGCCCTAAAGAACAGAAGAGATAGGTATAGGGAACCATTATACCATTCGAAAGGAACAAAATTATTCATCAGGTTGCTTAAAAATATACAGGGTGTTCCATTTACAAAAAAAATAAGTTAAGATAGTTTAAGTTGACTAAATTCGGCATTAAATTTCTATCAGCCTGTATGAAATTAAGTCATTTTGAAATTACGGCAGGGAAGCTTAGAATTTTAGTTATGTCCCCTATAAATTTTATCACTCTTACTTTATTATTGTAAAATCTAATAAATCTAAATAACATCTTTTTGAATTAGGCAGTTTTTTAATATTTTTTGAAAAAAATATTAAGTACATAAAAAACGGTTAACTTTAAGAATAGGAAATCTTTATGAAAGTTCACCTAAAAATTTACGTAAAATCCAAAATTGCAATAATATACAGGGTGTTCCATTTAAAATAACGAAGATGACGTCAACTTCCGGTATAACCGGAAGCGTTAGGAGGACGCCATTATTTCTGTTGAGAAGGGCATGCCCAAAACACTTTTGCTCAAAATTTCAAAATTAAAATCAAAGTAATCTTTGAAATATGTCTAATGTCTTGTCACCGTGGGACACCTTGTATAGAAGTACAATTATCACATTCCTTACTCTATAATTTTACCAATGTTCGTGACCTTTATCAAACGTAATTTCAATAGAATTTGCCAGTCCTAAGGCAATGACAAAGATAAATCTAAATATCAATGATAAAGTATAAGCTTTTACAACCTTTTCAATCCGTGTATTGGTAACCCTTGCCAATACACTTTGTCTTTTAATAATAATACCTGTTTATCAATTAAAAAAGAAATTAATTAAAGAATTAGAAAATTATTTAACCAATAAATAGCTAGTATGGTATAACTATCTATATGGAAAATAGATAATAAAACAAAAAAAATAAGAACTGTCAAATTTAACTTTCAGTTATATTATATTATATTATTGTTTTCTAATTTCTCCATTTTTTAAAACCCATTATATCGAGAAATAGTAATCAAATTAACTAATCAAGCTACTCACAGGTATAAACATAATTTCAAATCAGAGTCATCTGTGCAATAGCCCGGCTCGATATGAGAATGTCGACATCCTACAACAAGTTATACACGGTCTAGGTCAAGTGAGTGCAGACACCAGGAAGTTTCTCTACGATAGCATTTACTAACTTTCTTCGCGAATTACATAACTTCATCAAGCAATGAACATTGATACAAATGCCCATGTTCAGATAGTGGTAACATTTTTAACTCATTAAGCTTTGGCAGACAGTGGCGTTACCAGAATACACTGTAAACTGTTCAGCTGGGAATATGATTTTTTATATACCCAGTACACATACGTTAGAACAGGGATGCTCAGACTTATAGGGAACAGGGGCCACTCGGGAAAAATATAAGCCAAGGACGGAAACAATATTTATTAACACAAAATTTTTTATTTTTAAATAGTATGAAATACAATGATATAAATAAAATAACCTTCAAAAATGTTTGTTGTAATAATTATGTAATCATTACAATGTAATATTTCATGTTTTATTATTTTGATGCATGACATTGCATTGAACTAACAAGTTTTTTTATATTTGGCTCCACATTACTTGTAGCCACACGTATAATTGCTTCCAAATTTTCATTTGCCAGACGGTTTCGGTTTTTCGTTTTGTTAAGTTTCATCACTGAAAACGTTTGTTCACAAATATACGTCGATCCAAATAAGCTTGCGCATTTCAATGCATTTATTCGCAACTCTTTATAAGCGTTTTTATCAACGCAACGGTAGAAGTTGAGTAAATTACCTTCATTAAATTTGTTTCTTAAATTATCATCATTTTGCATGTCTATTAATTCCAGCTGCATTAATTCCGGCGCATTTTCGGGTGAAATGTTGAAAGGATTGCTGAAAATGTCCAATAGCGGTTTAACTTTTTTGAAGTCTACAAAACGATTTTCAAAAGCTTGTATCAAAATATCAATTTTTTCAACATGAGCGAAATTGACGTCAGTTTTATTGAACTTCTCCATAATTTTTTTGTAGTTCGGAAAATGGCCGTAATTGGCTGAATTGATTTGTGTCCTGAAAAGACTCAATTTGCATTGAAAGGACGAAACATGAGAGTATAGCTGCGAAATCAATTGATCTTTGCCTTGGAGTCGCGTATTTAAGACATTCAAGTGATTTGTGATGTCTACAAGAAACGCTAAGTCACACAGCCAATCAGGGTTGTCGAGTTCGGGGACGTCGTTTTTCTTTTCCGCCAGAAATAGTTGGATTTCTTCAATCAAGTTAAGAAATCGCTGTAGTGTCAACCCACGACTTAGCCACCTTACTTCAGTGTAAAACAGGAGATCACCATATTCGCTTTCAATATCCTCGAGAAATTGTTTGAATTGTCGGTGATTGAGACCTCGTGATTTTATAAAGTTTACGGTAGGTACTACAACTTTCATAACATTTTCAAATCCCAATAATTTTGAACAGAGGGCCTCTTGATGTATAATACAATGAAACTGCATTAATTCCTTGGTATTTATGTTTTTAGTTTGTAAATATGTTTTTAACAGAGTTACTATCCCAGATGTACTTCCAACCATTGAAGGTGCTCCGTCAGTTGTAATTCCAGATATTTTCGTTAAATCCAAATCCATTATAGAACATTTTTCTAGAAGAGCTTTGAGCATGTCACTTCCCCTGGTTTGACTTGTCAAAGAACTCATACCAATCAGTTCTTCACTCACTTCAAAATTTTGCGTTACACCTCGTAAAAATATTAATAGTTGAGCAGTTGAACTTATATCTGTAGATTCGTCGAGCGCTATAGAAAAATACTCAAAACTTCTCGATTTCGTAGCTAATTGCTCTTCTATATTATCTGCTAATGCGGTAATTCTTCTTTGAACAGTCATCCGATTTAACTGAATTTTTTCAAACTTCTTTACATTTTCCGGACAAATTTTTTTTGCGGCGATATCCAAACATTGCTTAACAAACTCACCATCTTTAAAAGGCCGACAAGTTTTCGCTATTATTCGAGATATTTCAAAGCTAACTTCAGTGGCTGTTTCAGCATCTTGAATTGGTTTTGTAAACATAGATTGCTGGCCTATTAGTTCCCGTTGTAAAGTGGAAATTCTTTGCGTTCGATTTTCGCCAGTTAATTTGGTAAAAGTTGGATGCTGGGTTTCATAGTGCCTTTTCACATTATATTCCTTCGGAATAGAAACACTACTCTTGCATATTAAACAGACAATTTTGTTATGCGATGAAATAAAAAAGTATTTTTCGGTCCAAATATCATGAAACTGTCGATTTTCATCTTCAACCTTACGACTACGTTTCTTACTGGGGCCTGGTTTATCCATATCAAAATTAATATTATATGTTACAGTCGGTAAAAGCCAAGTTCGAACGACGAAATATTTACTCGTCACAGATTACAGTTCTCAAACAGTATAACGTTCGCTTATCCGTAGTCAAAACTTAACTGCCCCGGTAGCCGGCGATGCGTCGTATTTATACGAGTTACCAAACATCGAGAACCATCCACTTTGTTCGGGGATCGACGTGTTTCGCGAATCTGTAATCTAGTTGATGCGACAGATTTCTAGTCTCGTAATAATATGCTTGGACCGGAGCGCGGCGAGTAGAATACTTTTAAAATTCGTTGGCGGGCCGCATGCGGCCCGCGGACGCGGTATGTGCATCCCTGCGTTAGAAAGATGTTTATAAAGTCCAAGCATCGTTACAGAAACATGTTTTTTATGTACAATCAACTTAAAAATGTCACGTTTCAGGCAAGAAAATAATAATCATGTAATTCGCATATCATTATTTTCGATTACGTGAAAGTTCATCATAAATAACTATTAAGTATCATTTTTTCAAGATCTGTCAATAAGATTATTATTTTCATATAGAGCGTTGGACCGCAGCGTAAATGTTGTGTAAACACGAAAATTCGTTATTATTTTTTTTACCATTGAATATCACGTTTACTATATGTGCGATTGTTACTATTTTCTTAACAATATGAGGCAAAACCTCGTTATTATAAAAATGCTATGGCGGTGACTTTACCAAATGCGTTTATTTTCAATTTTATAAAATTGTGCATCTTTGTGCTATTACTCAAACAAATTTTTCTATTGATTAACTTAGCATGATTGTGCACCACTACAGAGATAAACTGTTTGATTTACTTTCAAACAGAAAAAGGTTAAGAAATTACTGTGACCGTTGATATAATTATTGTCTGTTTCTGTGCAAAAATCCTTGAATTTTATAAATAAATGAACCGGACACATAACCAGTGGATTTTTATGTCTCTCAACAATCTGTAATTGTTAACCCAATCTCAGTATTCCATACATAGCAAAATTAATTTAATTTAAGTAGACTGAGTTCTTTTATTTATGCATTTGTTCTTAATAGCAGAGCAAAATATTCCTATATCCATTTCACTATAAAATATAAATAAGAATATCTCGTTGGTTGTGAATGAGTGATGAATTATTATTCAAAATAAGTTTATTAGAAAACGGTTCATGCTATTAAATTCTAACAAGAGTACCTTTTTTATGCAAAATATGATAAATTTTCATATTTTTCGTTCAGCAAGTAGAAAAAATTACGTACAAAAAAAAATTGTAATATTTGCCTCATGATTCCGCATTTTCTTTGTCCCCTGTAGCAAATTTTGATTTATATATTATACCGATTATTAAACATATAAATAGTAATACAACCCCAAAATTTCATGATTTAATATCAGACCGTTTTGAAGTTATGAAATAAAAACTGTTTCCTGATCCCTTCAAGGGGCCGGCCGTGTCTCCCTTGGGGGCCGCCATTGACAAAAACTCTACTAAGGTTTTCATCATATTACGACATGCTTTACATAATCTCCAATTTTGTACTTATTTCGTTAACACCTTGTATAGCCGCCAATCAGTAATGGAGATATTGCCAAATATCGTCACTGACAACCCTAGAATTTCGACACCACTTATTTTAAATTTAACAAATAATAACTGCGAAATGGCTCGATTTTCGAAATAATCACAGATGTTTTTTTCTTAACAATACCAACGGAAACTAAATGCACCAATGTCTCAAATATTTATATATCTAACAGTATATCCGCCACTGGTTAACAGATTTGTGTACAATTGTTCCAATAAGTGGTTAAGTCATTAGTTCAATTTTCATCAATAAAGCTCCTAAAGAGATATTTATATAAACGGATATTTTTTTATTTCAACATCCCGTATCGCGAAAACGAAGCGTTTCCGGACATATGTTCATAAGAACATTTTGATTTATTTGTAAAACAAAATCCACCGTTTTAAAGTTTGGCAGAGTAAATTATCAACAACCTGCACACATATACCTATTTATTATATCTTGTATAAGTATCTATCTATGTATCTAATTTTAATGCAATACGTACTGAATTGCTGTTAGTCTACAAAAACAAGCAAGTTTTTATTTAAAGCCGGCAGTAAAGTCAACATACGTCTATCAGTTTCGAATATTAGTTGATTATTAAAAATTATTTCAATTAATCTCGATATATTGATATTAATGACCATTACTAAGCAATAACGAATTATTAATCCACATACCGAATCAGACACTCTAAACCAATGAAATAGAATTCCAATTACGGTTTTATCCACACATAAATTGACTTATATTGTGTCTATACGTTTGCGAAATGCCACATTATAACATAATGCACTTGCAATTTACTCAAATCTGAATTTTATTACCGACGTAACTATTACGGTTCCCACTTTCCCATGCGTGCGTCTGTGTAATGAATTTATTATAATAATTAGCGTACTTTCGCGCCATTAGTTCTCATTGAGAGATAGAAAATTGGAGCGATTGCCCCAGGAATAATGGTTTATGAATAATAACAGCGGAACTCCTACCATCTCACAGAAGTATAACTCATTTATTAGAGATTACGTTTTATCTCTGTAAATATTGGTAAATTAATTCTAGGGTGGCAAATGAAAACCCTATTTACATGCTAAAATCGATGCAAAAACTGTTGGTTGGTAAATTAGCTTTAAAACTTTGCGGATTAGTAATAAACAATGAAAAGAATTGGTTGCAACAGATGTTCAAAATGATTATCATTTTCAATTTTGCTTTTTTTAACATTGTCCATTCGTACTATCGAATCTTTTCCTCAACTTTTTTTATTTCATATAGATTATTTAACTTTTATAATTATTTTAATACGTGGTATTATTTTATAGTATGTAAAAGTTAAACATAGGCCTATTTAAACAGGAGATATGGTGCTACTTACCTAGTGAACAGCTGAAATGATATATCTCTGATAGGGTCGATGGTGTGGCATTTTTGTTTGCCTATCGGGAGTAACTGGACATAGGCATCTTCAATTCGAACCCCAGGAGGTCCTGAAATAATACAATTTTCTAGAGCCTCTAATAATTAAAATTAATTAGATATACAAGGTGTCTGCTAGAAAACGAGCCAAAATTTACCATTCTAGGATGTAAATTAATGGGGTTATTTCATATAAAAATTTGTTAAAAAAAAAATTAAGAAAGATTTTACTTAGTTTTAGACATATGTCAGAAACCTCCATACAGTTGTTGTAGCTATGACCTGGAAGTATCATTAGATGATATTAAATTTTGTACAGGATGTTTCTAAAAATTATTAATTTTCTTAATAGAACAATCCATATATTATGTCATATTTGCATGGAACTCTTTTTCAGGACTACAAACTCACGATTTGATGGGTATCTCTAATCATAAAAAAGATGGTCACATTATACCAATGGCATATTCTAAGAGCGATATCTTTATTACCATATGGTCAAATTAGCTGAAGCTTTCAAAGCATTAAGCTGGCGACTTCGCCCAAATTTTAAATTTTCAATTAAAACATTTTTTATGTTGATGCTTAATGGTTATTGGTTGCAATGTCACCTGACCTTAATTTTCTGGTTTTTAAGTATAAAAAAAATGCTAAGTTGTAGCCTTGATCTGGAAATATCATTCGACGATATTAAATTTTGTACAGGATGTTTTTACACAGGGTGGTAATAACTTGTATGATTTTCAAATAGAACAACGCATATATTATTTCATATTCCAATGGGTCGCATTTACAGGACTGCAATATAGTCGTTGTTTCTCACAAAATCATTAGTTAAAAAATCACTGCCTTTGTTTGTAAATTTTACGACGTAATAATTTATATTATTGACAAATTCATATTTTATACATATTATGTCTAAACATTTAGTTTAATCGTTTTCCAAAGGTGTTTCTTTTGACTTAAATAAGCGAGATTTAATTATTTTACATAACCTCATGTCATTTTTTATTTATTTATTGTTTTTTTCATACAAAAAATACCTAGAATTGCACTCAAAATTCTCTAGAAAACTGAACAAAAAGTTAAATTACAAGTTTGTTTTTCGTTATTAATGAAGAATGCCCTAGTAAGATTATAATAACTTTTTTAGTTTTTGTTGGACTCAATCAAAGTTTAAAAAAAGTTCACTGAGTTTATCAAATGCAAAACTGCCGCAGATGGTAAAATAGAATTAAGAATATCGAAGACTGAGATAGGGTACAATTTTATTAGATATTTTTTTTAACAAAAGTTATTCAGGATCTTTTAAAATTTGGTTAAATTTAAAAAAGTCAAGTGTCATTAAAAATTATTTCCAAGTCAATGAAATAAATACTTTGTTTCGAAAAGCATGATAAAATATTTTTTACAGCTTTACTGAATTATTTATCCTAAAAACTGGTGAAAAAAAAACTGTTTATATTTACTGAAATAATTTTTAATTATTAAAACATGTTTTTTTTTAATATAATCTGAGTAAGTATATAAACTTTCAATGGTTCTTATACACTTTTCTAATAAAAAAATGAGTTTTCAATCTACTCGATCTACTTTAGTATCTCAGGTGGCTTTGCATGAGAAGGGTTGGTGTATGTCAATGAGCCCTTTCTTTGAAAAAAAAAATTAACTAAACCAGACAAATACTGAAACAGTTCTAAGGGTATCAGCGTCACGAACAGTATATGTTTGAAACTAAAAAAAATATACCTGTTTAGCACAAATGTCCCCTACGTACCCATTAATTGTTGCAGACCCGGAAAATCTAAGGCGATTTCGGCGATAGCCAAATACGCCAGAAGATAATCAGGGTCGAATACACTACCCCCTATCACTATTTGCGTGGATAAGATCACTGTTATTTTAGCCCAATCCTTCAGAAGCATTTTCGGGAATATTTAATCACAGACTGTATATAGCTGCAGCACAAGCAACAATGAAACAAAAAGTTGCACGGTGTGACTAATCTTGATAAGTAAAAGTACATTTTTATCCTGAATTGACAAAACTGAATAGGTTCAGAAGCACAGAATGCGAAAAGGAAATTGAATTTTGTTAATTGGCACCCGTGTTATTAATTTTTAACAAAATAAACGATCGGTGTATACAGAACAAATGGATTATTAACAAAAGAACTTTTTTGCAAGTTTTTTACAGTTTTTTCTTCATTAACTTCCTAATTTCTGTTAACTAAAATGTTTAACAATATTTTACCGCAAAAAAGTGAAACAATGTATTGCAACCATTGATTCTAAACGTGCACAGTTATTTTTAAGGTCCTTTGTTGTTACATTCATAGTTCATAAAATATGCGTAATATTTAAACTTTTATTTTATTCAACTCAAATTTACCAACATAACATTTACCCCCTTGTTTTTTTTACCTTTGAATCTAGGAAAAATGGTAAAACCAAGGTTATAGAAAATTTTGTTGCGAAATCAAAGAAATACATGTATAAAAAAAGCAGTTAACTACTGCGTTTCGAATATAAACCAAACTTTTCTACATATTTTATAAATGGGACAGCATTTGTTGCTTATTGGAATCCTCTCCATTTTCTAATTACTATACATTTCAAATATTTGCCATGGAACCAGTGCATATTTATACTGTTCTGCTATTAAATTTATTAAACAGATTTTTAAACTTTATATTATGAAAAAAAAATCTATATCTACTACGAAAATTGTTTTTGTACTGTTTTTTTAGGCAGAAAGTTAAAAAATAAGGGTGGTAGAATGTTAAACAATTTCTTCAACTGTTTTCGTGTTTAGTTGTAAATTTTACAAAAAAAAAGGTAAGCATTTTTTTAGAAGTCATTCCCTTTTTCATATTTATAAATGATAAACATTGTTACGAGCACAATTTATGAAATCTACAATTTTTTTGTTTATGAATTAATCCACTTTCATTTCAAACAAGCCCTTGTTGTGGGCGATATGTTATAAATAGCTTTAGTATTGCATTGAATGTTCAGCGACAAAAGAATAGAACTCCAAATCATAATTCACCTTTCATTTATCTATCGATCTTTGCCTTGTAAGCGTACTAATTCGTGTTCTTTATGAACCGTTGTTCTATACAGTCGTGGTCCACAGTTGCTGAAAGAATATAAAAAAACTATCGGTAGATATTTTTTTATATCATTAATGTTGAATGTTAAAAATGAATAAATAAATGTTGTTATAAATGTTTTATAATAAAAGTGCAGGGTTGCCCCATATTGATGATGATGAATAAAGAAAACTTCAATATATGTATAATCAAAATTGTTTCTAAAAAAATGTTTTTCAACTTAAGTTTGTAGGAATATTTCAAGGACTAATTTCTGGATCATTTTAAAATGAAACGTTATGTCTACCAGTGACAGAAATACTCGGAGACACTTACAAAAATTTTATTCCTAAAGAACAAAGGTAGGTAATGCAAAGCGACATTGCCAATATTATTATTTTAAATCCAAACACAAACTTACCATGCAATTGAATACATCAACAGTAACCCTAAAACTACTAATTTACAAAAAATCTATAGGAATTTTTAGTCAGAAACACAAATAGACAATGTGTCCATCGATGTGGAAAAAATTATTAGTACAGAAATTTTTACTTTTAAGAGAAATACCTGTTAGAAAATTAAAACTTGTCTCAAGTTCTAACGACGGTATATATTTTTTTAATGTAATGTTATATAATAAACAGAAAATTCCTACAGATTTAATTTTCTGCATGAAACGAACAGTTGTATGCATCTTATGATTTATTCAGTTGTATGATGAGCACATTTTAAAAAATAATTCAGAAGGGCAGTATCCCTGTCTGATCGATATAACTACATGCAAATTCAATCAATTTTTACAATACAGATATTTATATTACTAGTACCTACATTTTTGAAAAACTGAAGTTAAGTCGCTTAAGACATATTCTTTTTCTTAAAATGATCAAGAAAGTCACCTTCCTGAATTATTTTATATACATAGTTATATCTAAAGTTTTTTTATATGTAATTTTTTACCAAATATGGTTGAAATCTATTTATGGAACATAAATTCTGACAATACAAATCATGGTAAAACCTTCTGTCTACACAGCACACCAGCTGTTATAAAAACTTTCTTTGAATATCTATTTAGATATTTTAAATATGACAAATCATTATATATCTACTATAAAAATTTTCACAGGTGACATACTCTGCCGGAAACACTTCGTTTTCGAAGTACAGGGTGTTGAATTTAAAAAAAATGTTGTCATATCTATTTAAATATCTCTGAAGGTGCTTGACGTAGATTCATAAAACTTAAATAATTATTGGCAAAAATTTTCTGACACACAGACACGGATATAGTATATTTTTTTCATTTTACTCATATCATATGATTCAAAAATCAGTACCTATCCAGAATTTTGCTTTGTAATGTTTTTATTTATTTTAAAATAATAAATAGATACAAATAATTATTATTTACCAAATATTTGTTCCGAAATTTCTTCTATTAACGCTAAATGTTTTTGAAATTCTGACTGGGACTCTGCTCTTCGTAACGGAGAGTAACGAGGAACGTAATTATTACCTTTATTTTTCATTTCCATCTGATGTCTGTGTTTCATAAAATATATGTAATAATTTGATGAAATTTTGTTCTGCTAAGCCCTGGTTTTACGTGAAAAAGATGGGATATCTTCCTCCAAAATCTTTTGAATAGCTGCGAAAGGGTTTTCTTGATGCGGACTGATTCTATTTTTTTTTCAGTAAATATGGCAAATACTTTAAATTTTTATGAGACATAAGAATGTCCCCTATTTTGGTGCAAGAATTACATATACCATAAGGTTTTAAATTAGTTTCTTGGTTGTTCACTGCTATGGTTTAATTGTAAACAATTAGAAGCTAGAGAAAATTTTGACATCACAAGCCTAAGCCTACTTGATTGCAGTTATGATTTTTTAAGAATCATTGATATATTGCCATAGACATCGGTTTTCCACAAAAGCTTACTTTCCTTCTATTTTAGTAATACTAAGTGAATTATACTGAAAACATAAATATCTGAATTCAAAAATTAAATGCCTTTTTTATTGCTAAAGTGAATGTAATGTGCTGTTTTTTATATTTAGTAAGGATCATTAATAAACTGTCATAGACATCGCATTTCTACAAATACTTACTTTCCTTCTATTTTAGTAATAGTAAGTGAATTGTACTGCAAAGATAAATATTTGAATTTAAAAATTAAATGCCGTTTTTATTACTAAAGTGCAAGCAATTTTTTATGTTTTAATAAGAATCATTGATAAACTGCCATAGACATCACTTTTATACAAAAACTTACTTTCCTTCTATCTAGTAATAATAAGTGAATTGTGTTGCAAAGATAAATATTTAAATTCAAAAATTAAATGCCTTTTTTATTACTAAAGTGAAAAGTGAAAGGAATGTTTTTTTTATGTTTTAATAAGAATATTTGATAAACTGCCATAGGTATCGCTTTTCTACAAAAACTTACTTTCTTTGTATTTTAGTAATACTAAGTGAATTGTATTGCAAAGGTAAATATATGAATTTGTCTCATTTATTACTAAAGTAAAAGGAACGTGTTGTGTTGTTTTTATGTTTTCCTAATTTTCATTTCCAAAACGAGCCATTTTTGAATTTAAAAAAACGCGTAAATGCGATTAAATTATGTGACGTTTAAGAAGAAAAAAATATGTCATGCACCACAAAACAATGTCTACATGTCAAGCCAACTTTATTTTGGCGAAATAAGTTTCAAAATGAAACATGTCATTTTTAAAATAAATTTTAATTGTAAAAATATCCAAAAAATGCATTCCTTCGGAAAAATTTCCGGAAATAATTGAAGCACTACGGAGATTATAAGTGATAAATTAACACAGAAAAATATGTTACAAAACATTTTTTAACAGAATCGTTCCCAAAATGTGAAATTTCCGCACATAATTTTTTTGTCATTGACGTTGTACATATTAAATGTCGAAAAAGGTCACTACAATTTTAATAATTTCTTAATATTGGACACCCCGTAATGCCTCACTGAAAACTACATTTATATACATTTAAACACAAGTAATTTTGTAACAAAAATTAACTAATCAATAAGCGAATCAGTATACCTACGTACAAAAACTTAGCTTTTTTCGAGAATCTTTATGTAGATTTTATCAGAGTCACCCTCTGGGAGTTTAAATTTGAATACACGCATTACACGTAAAGATTCAGCACTGCAATTCCACACCATTAAATCAATTACGTAACCACATGTGGAAGATATATTATTTCACTTTCCCCTATTCTAAAGCGATTACTTTCCAAACACTGATCGAAAGGGATAGACGGTAAATAAGCTATTTCTAAATTGAACATACCAGGCAGAGCCCCGATAAGGCACACGAACAAAAAATCCGAAACACCCATGACACCCGAAACCGAGGTGGTATTTGAATTGAACCAAGTGGTGCACTAGACGGGTTGCAGCGGCAGAGGCGCGCAGTCTTGGAAATGCCTTTTGGAGCCGCCTAGCTTATGTAGTGGAGACTCCTTTCTTAGCCCACTAGCCGGACGAAAGCGCGAGCTGTGCGTAAGGTTAAAGTTTTTTGGCGGGCCCGAAGAAGGCCGCGTTTTTCGGCGTATCGCACCGGAACAGACGTTGGCTGGGGTCAGGTCGGCTGTTTCGAAACTTTTTGTCGCATTCGTTTGTTTTAGCGGTCGTTCCGTTACACAGAGAAAAAATTCGTTTAAACAGAACTAAGGGATTCTCTAATATGTGCGCCCATACAAGAGAATAACGCTTTAAAAGTTATTTAAAAGTCTTATTAAAATGTGACAGAATTATTTAACCCGTCGAAGAACTTAAAAAAGTATTACTTTATTGTATGGGGAATTTAATTCTAAAACTTTTCTTGCTCTTGTTAATTTTCAAGAAACTTTGTAGTTTTCAATAAAAACACGAATTACTAATAGTACGTATATATAGTTGTGTCATTTAGAATCATCGAAAATTCAAAAGTTGACTATGAATTTAAATATCAAACCTGACGATCAGGAAAAAAATTGGGAAAAGAATAACAGAATAAGAAAACAAACAACTTCAACAACAGAAATAACATACAATTTGTGGACTGATAGGTTATAGAAATTGTTCACAATACCTAGATATCCTTTTAATTTCTTTCTCTTTCTCCTTTTTTAATTTAAATTATTAAAGGATGTCATCCAATAAACTTATGTAATAACTATTTCAGTTATCTACGCTTTAAACATAGAATAAATGAACAATTGTGAATTTTTTATGCTATGTATAAATATTTACTAAAGTAATTACTCTTTAGGTGCATATCTTGTAATATCTCAAGAGAAATGATTATTTGCGATAGAGCCGAACGGAGAAAAATAAATTCAAACAATATCAAAACATTTCTTAATATTTGTGCAAGAAAAATGCATTATTGAATTTACGACTTCTGTTCTCTTATGTTTATGTTGTTATACCAAAATTTAATAGAAATAGAATAAAAAATCTAAACAGAATTTTTTAAACGAGATCGAGATATATTTCTATTGGACTTTGATAAATAAGATTTCAGTTGAACGTGTGAAAATTGATAAAAAGGATTCATCCTTACATATCACCTAAAGTCTTTAGAAGATTTAGATTAATACCTGAATGTATCCTGAATGAAACAAATGATGGCATCATTTTTTTATTAGAAAAACTGGTATTCAGAATTATGACAAAACGCATCCAACTAAAGATATTCAAAATTCATTTAACGATACATTTTAGTTATAAGCGGATGTCTCAAAATTTACGCAAGATTTGAATTTAGCGCCATTTGCGCGGTAAAGTGTTGCCAATGAAAAACAAAAGACAGCGTGACAGCTGACAGTTCAGAGTTATAGTACAGTCATTGAAGCTGAAAATCAGCTGTAACCTCCGAATTCTTTGAAACTGCATGGATTTCCATGAAAATTGAGAATAAGGCTCATCTCAGTATCAAGCTCAAAAGTGACATAAGCCCAATTGACGTTTTTTGTTTTTTAGGGGTAAAAACTACCCCT